AAATTGGGAGTGGTTCATTGAGTGTAGAATCTGAGTTTGTAAAATGACCAAGTTCTGGAGACTGGTTGTACCAGTCTGTGAATAGAGTGATCCCTCACCTGTTGGGGGGATTACCTTCCAGAGACTCCCTGGATAGATGAAAATCCACGAAGTAGAAAGCATTAAATAGTTGTCCCTCACTCATTCATGGTTCACTTATTGCTACTGCATACTTACACTACTATACACTTAAAAATTGCTATTTAAGGGCTGGGAAGGTGGCTCAGTAGTAGAACGCTTGCCTTGCATGAGGCCCTGGGTTCAATTCCTCAGCACCACATAAGCAAAAAGAAAAAAGCCGGAAGTGGCGCTGTGGCTCCAAGTGGTAGAGCACTAGCCTTGAGCTGAAGAGCTGAGGGACGGCGCCCAGGCCCAGAGTTCAGGCCCCACAACCGGACCCCCCCCCAAAAAAAACCCAGAAAAACAAAAATTGCTATTTAAAAATGTTTGTGCTGATAAATTTGTGTGCTTTACCACAATTAAACATTTATGTTTAAAGAACTAATAGTCCAAGAAATTTTTTCCTATCGATATGTATACACTAAAAAAAAAACCCCCCAAAAAACCAACCCTAGGAACATACTGTACTGTAATCTGCTATTTACACCTAATCCATATGAGGCAACATCTCTGCTATGTATAGCTCCCACCTAAGCTTTCCTCAGTGGCTGAAGTCTTGATCACATGACTGCATCATAATTTAGCCAGTCTGTTTTCAGCTGTTCATTATTATAAAAACATCACAGTTGACATCTCTGCATACTTTCTCATGATGCCTCATTCTACAATCTCTGTTCCTAGCGTCAGTATTCCATTCTCTTGGTTTTTTTGTCAGTTGTGGGGCTTGAACTCTGGGCCTGGGCACTGTCCCTCAGCTCTTCAGCTCAAGGGGAGCACTCTACCACTTGAGCCACAGCACCAATTCTGTTTTTCTAGTAGTTTATTGGAGATAAGACTTGTCTCACAGGCTTTCCTGCCCCAGCTGGCTTTGAACCGTGATCCTTAGATCTCAGCCTCCTGAGTAGCTCAGATTACAGGTGTGAGCCACTGGCGCCCAGACAGTATTCCATTTTCCACATGGGAAAAGTACCACTTTATCATCTTAACTCCCATCCTGCGTTTCTACTTCCAACTCCAACCTACCCTTTGCCTATGTGGCTAGACTGACTAGGCATGTTTAGCTTTATTTCTAAGTATATGCCTTTCATGTTGCTAACTGATATCTCACCTACAATTATCTTTTCCAACTATTATTACGGGCATAAAGGGACTGTTTGGGGTGGGAGTACGGCTTAGTGGTTCACATGCTGAGTGTGCTTGAGGGCCTCCCTGGGTTCAATCCCTAGCACCAAGAAAAGGAGATACAGGAAGCGGAGGACAAAGGGAGGGTTAAAGGAGGAAGAGGAAGAGAAGGAGAACAAAAAGCCATAGCTGGGGCTGGGAAGGGGGCTCAGTAGTAGAGCGCTTGCCTTGCATGCCTGAGGCCCTGGATTCGATTCCTCAGCACCACATAAGCAAAAAGAAAAAAGCCGGAAGTGGCGCTGTGGCTCAAGTGGTAGAGTGCTAGCTTTGAGCTGAAGAGCTGAGGGACAGCGCCCAGGCCCAGAGTTCAGGCCCCATGACCGGACCAAAAAAGAAAAAAAAATTAAAGAAAAAGCCATAGCTTCTTCTCTATTTTGTAACTGCTTTTGCTCTTAACCTTATCACATCTAAGTATTTTAACTTAATTCTTTAGAATCTTCCCAGCAGATAATCATATCAATGATAGATAATTATATCTGTCGTAGTGATTAGAGAAAATGGTCCAGACTCAGGCAGGCCAAAATACAGGATTCATTCCAATACAATGTGCCTTTGGGTACCATTTTTACCTTAGTTTCTTTGTCCTTAAATGGGATATGGGGACTGGAGGCATGGCTCAAGTGGTAGATACTTGCCTAGAAATCATGAATTCCTGAATTCAAACACTTGTACTGTCACACACACACACACACATTTATACAAATGGAGGATCATAATAGGACCTATCTCACAAGGACCTATCTCTTTAAGTAAAGATTATAGGATTGAAATTAGTTCAAGAAAAGGGCTTAACACGGTACTAGTTCAAAAACTGCTCTGTACTGATAATGAAAGTATGGCTTTTCCCCCACACACCATGGTTTACTTTGTGACTTCTGCATTTCATTGGTGTGCTTCTGTAAGCCATGGCCTCTCCTACTCATCCAAAGTGTGGGCTCCATCAGACTCTCTTAGTTATCTACTCCACCTTCTCAGGAAAGCTATGCTATCTATTTCCTGTTCAGCTCTCATATCTTCTCAGCCTTTCCCTCCTACCCACTCTGTGCCAACCGCATTACAGCAGTCTCCGAGGCTTTAAACACACACATACTTCACCTTATTCCTCAATCGCTCCCCAGCCCTCTCCCCTCCCCTTCCAGCCAACCTTCTTTGAGCTGCCTACACTCTGTCTTTCTCACATCCCACTTACTTCATCCTACTGATATATTACATTGAACCTTTGGAAGCTGCAGATATTATAGATTCCACCCCCACCATTTCACCAGATCTGCTCAGTGGGGTCCCTAGTGACCTCTGAAACTTAGTATTCAGAAGACATACTTTAACTTATCTTACTTAAAAACATCTCCAGCAGCACATAGCAAAGCAGACCTCTCTCTCCTTTGGCCTTCATTACTATATTCTTCTGGTTTTGTTCCTCCTTAGGCCACTTCTTCGTGAGATTAAATAAATTGTTCTACTAAGAATTATGAAATACTGTCACCATGCATAATCTGGGACTTCAACAACAAAATCTCTCTAATTGAATGTCTTTATGGTTGTGTTTGTTGAGACAAGATCTTCATATGTAGCATAGGATGGTCTCCAACTCACAGTCTTCCTCTCTCAAACTCTCCAGGGCCAGGACTGCAGGAGTGCCTAGCTCCTCTGGCTCAGTATTAACCTTTAAGTTCCAGTTGTAGCTGACTGCTTTCATCTCCATGAACATGGAACTCTTCCCTGACCATTCTCCCCACCCCACACAGCTAACTCCCTCAAGAATACTTACTCTATATCCAGACCCTCTGAACCTCCAAACAAGGCTGTATTCACCTCACCACAGGCTTTCTTCCACAATTCTCATCACCCAACCACTTGTTTGATGCACATTTTCCTAACTAGTCTGTGATCTCCATGAGGGTAGTGACCGGTTCATAAGTAGCTGCACAGTGCCTGCCATACCATAGGTACTTACTATGGTTTGCAGGTGTCCTTCAGTAGTGTTGAAATTTAATCTCTATTGTGAGGTAAAATGTGGTTCAGCAGTAGAGTGCCTGCTAAGCAAGCATGAGGCCTTGAGCTCAAGCCCCAAAAACAACAAAAAGGTAGAAAGTGAATCTGAATGTAGTTTCTAGAGATGGGGCCGTTAGGGGTGTTTAGCATTAGATAAGGGAGTCAGGGTGCAGTCCCCATGGCTAGTTAAGAGGAAAAAGGCTAGGGATGCAGCTTGGAGCCAGAAGTCTTTATGTGTAAGGCCATGGGGGTTCAGTCCCCAAAAAACAGAAGAGGAAGAGAAAGTGGAAGGAATACTTCCTGTCTCTTATCATGTGATACAGAGCCACCATGGGAATCTGCTAATAAGAAGGCCATCCTCAGAAGTGGGCCCAAGAACTTCCAGATATGAGCAAAATAAACTTTTCTTTATAAAGTTACGCTGTCTCAGATTATTTTGTTATAACAATGAAATAAGACATTATTCAATTGCTACTTCTTGAATCAGCATAAATGGAAGGTTGCAATGTAAAAAATAAATGGGAAGAGTGATGAGATCAAGAGAAAATAACAAAAATCCTCATTTTTATCATTTTCTTTCTGATCAAGCACACATGCACCTCCTGATTAAAACCCTTTAAAGGCTTCCTCTGCCACTTAAATAAAACCCAAACTCCGCAAATCTTACAAAGAAATCCTTCAAGAGGGGCAGTGGCTATCTCTCCGACATCAAGTAGCCAGATCACCGCTGCAGCTCAGTATCTTGTCTCCTACAGTCAGCCTGAAATCCTTGTAGATTCTCAACAAGCCTGCACTGTCTCCCCAAGGCTTTGCACATCCCTCTCTCTGCCTGAATCCTGAGCACTTCGCCAGCCTCCTGTTTTGGCAAAAGACAGCCTTCATGTCTCCATCTCTCTTTAACCATCTCAAGTAGAAAAACATCTGAGGTTATCTCCTTCTGGGTTTATCTTCCTCGGCATGTCTTCTGGATGTCCACAATCACAGCTCAAATCATAACCAGTTCTTGATTATTGATCTGTCTCTTACACCGTAGAGTCCCCTGAGGACAAGATGTCTCATTCACTTTTTTACCCCTTGGCGATCAGCCGGGGCCCTGGCTCACAGTAAATGCTCAGTGATGCTCCTTGTAGTAGTAGTAGTAACGATTTAAAAAAAAAAAATAGCTCCCAAGCACTGAGGATTGACTGAAAGGCTTTTAAATATAAACTTATTTTTGCAACAACCTTATAAGACAGGTCACCCCCCCAAACCACATCTCCCGGGCGCCCCCAGAGTCGCCCAACGCGTACATTATCTGTAGTTTTCAGTTTCCTCGTCGACCCTTATGCAAGAAGGGGCTTTGATTTTTTAATCCAAAAAAGAAACTTTCGAGTGAAGCCAAATTATACACGATAGATAGATAGATAGATAGATAGATAGATAGATAGATAGATAGATAGATAGATAGACAGACAGACAGACATCCAACTGCCAACAACGCACCCCACACAACCGCGGGGTGGGGTCAAAGGGCACAAGAGGCGCCACGGCCGGTGGCTGAGGGGACAAAGGTCCGATCCCCCCGTCCTCTCCCCGGGGTCCCCCGCGGCCCGGGCCCTCGCCCGGAACAGTCGACGCCTGGCCTGGGCGCGTGTGGGCCGCGACGGCCCGGCTCGGCCCTCGCTCACCTGCCGCCTCTCCGCCTCGCGGTGCCCGGGCTGCCGGCGCCCGCAGCGGAGCCGTTGCCTAGGCGACCGGGGCGGCCGAGCTCCCGCCGCGCTCGCGCTACGGCGGCTCCTAAGGGACTAGAAGGATCCCGCGTTCTTTTCCGCCCCTGCCGAGCCCGGATGGAGGAGGGGTCAAGAGAGGAAATCGGGATTCTAAACCGCGAGCTACTGGGGCTGGGGTTGGCAGCCCCAGACCTTGGCACGTTGGAAGGTGGAAAAGGGGGAACTGCGAAGCCGAGGGCGGAGACTTGTGCCTCCGATGCCGCTTGTACCTCAGTTTACATCTCTATCACCTGAGAAGAGCCTCAGCTTGTTAGATTATATTCCACCACCACCACCACCACCCCCGCCCCTTTTTTTTTTCCACTGTAGGTTGTTTTGTTTTGGTGATCCTGGAGAGCGAACTGAGGGCCTCGGGTATACTAGGCAAGGACGTAATCATTAACTAATAAACTCTAGACTGAAAGTATAGCCTAGAAAATTGATGGAGGGAATGACTGAGCCCAGACCTTGAGTTCAAGTGTCACTCCCCGTCCCCCCCCCCAACAACCACAACAAAAACACACAAATGGTAGAATGCTTGCCTTGCATACTAGAGGCCATACATTGCATCCCTAGCACCGGGCATATACACCAGAAAGCGTTTCAAAATGGATTTAGGAGACCATGGCCTACACATATATTAAGCTGTTGCCTGGGAAAATGAATTCTTCAATTCACCAGGCAAAAATGACATAGGGATGGTATAACCTTTGAGCCAGGCCATGCAGCTGAGCAAATTTAACAAATGTCCAAGGAACTACACATCTAGAGATACCTAGGGTACATAGGGATAGCCTACAGATATACCTAGTACAACAGGGAATTACAAACTACTTGTGCTAAAACCACCTTTGAGTCTGTAGTTGGGACTGTACGTAGCAAATACAGAGCAGGAAAAAAGCTTGACAGTCTGTGCCTTCACTTGCCTTTTGTCTCCTTTGGATAAAGGTACTCTACCAAGAGAATGTTAAACATTTAGGAAGTTTCTATCTAGAAACTGCTGATAGGCTGATTAGGCCTAAATTTATCTTTCTCTTCCTCCAGGTCTGAAGTCACCAATGTATGAATATCTAAGATACTTTGTTTTTTTACAACATCCTCAGACCACTAGAGCAACACCTGCCCAGTCATTATCTTAAATCTACAGTTAGATTCACTGACAGAACCCGCTCAAGAGGAAACTTCCTCCCTAAACAAGAGCAGACAGCACTTGGGAACTGAATTGTCCCCTCAGGGATTCTGACAGATAAACACTGAGATATCCCAGAAACGGAAAGCAAAGGTAATTTCCCTGACAAAACCAAGAGGGACCACAGTTTGCCATAGAGGGTTTAATTATGTAAATATCTCACCACCTGCCCCCATTCTTCTGCTATTTAAACCTAGAGCTCACTTTAGTTCTCAAAGACTGGACTGAGAATCTGGGTCTCCCTTTGCATTCACAGCGTGATCCTTCTGGAAATTAAATTCCCTGCTTGCCTTTCACTGCTACTATTCCCATTTGATTTCCGGAATGAGTGGCCAGACCTGGTGTGTTGGGACTACCTAGAGGTGAACCTCTGGCCTAATATTCCTGAAACTAGCAATGAATCCTGTGTAGCCTAGAAATACAGTTTGTCACCAGATGCAAGTGAGGATTGGTGAAGTTTCTCTCTAAAAGAAACTTTTCACTTAGAGCCCTTGACTTCAATCGCAAAATAAGAATTTCTGGACAAGTCATAATGGTAAGAAAACTAGGTGGAGCTTTATTGAGCAAGAAAGCAAGCAGGCAAGCAGACAGACAAAGAGAAAAACAGACTTTCGCTAACAGAATGTGGATGTTCTGCAGAAAAGACAGACACACAGCAATTTGGCTGTTAGGGGTATTTATATGGTAAAGGCAAAGGGTCTGACTTCAAAATTATACAAAGATAGGAGCGTTATCTTTGCTCTAATCATTCCTGGTATTACACTTGATTTTCTGAGTTTCTGGACCTTTGGGACATTGAGATAAGGAAGGTGTCCTGTTGTCTGCATTTTGGGTAGGAGGCTGCTTCCATTTGGGGGAAGCATTTTTCTCAGGAAGGAATACATCCTGCCAGACAAATGTTAATTCTTGGGGTGAGGAATGCATCCCTGGGGAAGGAAAGCATCTTGTTGCCTTTGAAGCAAATGTAGTGCTTCTGTGTTTCGAAATATCCTGTTTCTGAGTTGCCTCCACCAAGCCTCATTTTCCTCATTATATACCGTCTCATTATCATGTCCCCAAAGATGATTTTGAAAAGACTTTTTTTTTTGGTCAGTCATGGGCTTGAACTCTGGGCCTAAGCACTGCTCTGAGCTCTTCAGCTTAGAGTACTGGAGTACAGCACCACTTCCAGTTTTGGGGTGGTAAATTGGACATGAGTCTCATGGACTTTCCTGCTAGGGCTGGCTTTGAACTGAGGTCCTCAGATCTCAGCCTCCCAAGTAGCTAGGATTATAGGCGTGAGCCATTGGTACCCAGCTGAACAACTTTTTTTTTTTAAGACCCTATTTCTTGACCTGGTCATAGACTGGGTTATAACATTTTTTCCTCCTGTATTACTAGGAGTCTAACCCAGAACTTTGCATGTGTTAGACAAGTGCTCTACCACTTAGTTATACCCTTGATCCTCAACTAAAGGTGTGAGCTAGGCATGGTGGAGCATGTCTGTAATCCCAGCACACTTGAAGCACTAAAAACATTTTTTGTTTGTTTCTGTTTTTTTAACTGTCTATGAAATCAACTTCCTTTCCGTCAGATTATTCTGATTGCCTTTTTGGTTAAGATCAGGTACAGAATATTCTATTTCATGAGATATAATGTCTGCTGTTTGAAAATAAAACCAATCAATTTGGGCACCTGTAATCCTAGCTACTCAGGAAGCTGGGATCTGAGGATCATGGTTCAAAGACAGCCTGAGCAGACAAGTCTGACACTCTTATCTCCAATAAACTACTTAGAAAAGGCTGGAAGTGGCACTGTGGTTCATCCCTAGCCTTGAACACAAAGTGGCTCCAGGAACAGCGTCAAAAACAAAAAAGAAAATAAAAGCAAACCTCAAACCAGGTCCCCCTCCCCTTACATTGGAGGCTGTAGGTACTTTTTTTTTCCTCCAATGATGGAGATTGAATCCAGAGCCTTCCATGTGCTTAGCAAGTACCCTCCCTGACACTCATCAATACTTTTATTAAAAAAGTAATTCCCTATGCCAATTCATAGTACTCATTATACTAAGACTTGATATATTTACCAGTTACTGTCTTTTTTGTTGTTGTTGTCGGTCATGGGGCCTGCACTCTGGGCCTGGGCACTGTCCCTCAGCTCTTCAGCTCAAGGCTAGCACTCTACCATTTGAGCCACAGCATCACTTCCCACTTTTTCTGCCTATGTGGTGCTGAGGAATCAAACTCAGGGCCTCATGCATGCAAGGCAAGGACTCTACCACTGAGCCACCTTCCCAGCCCACTGTCAAGTCTCTTAACTGGATCAAAAACTCTATGAAGATTGTTGACATAAAATAATGACTGTTTTCAAGAAAATAAGAGACATATTTATTCTGATCCAAACATGAGTGTCCAGGGACTGAGAGTTTAGATTTAAGTTATCCTGAATGACATATTCCACTGTGGAAAAGATTACATGAACTTTATTTTTTTTTTTTTTGGGTCCGGTCGTGGGGCCTGAACTCTGGGCCTGGCTGTCCCTCAGCTTTTCAGTTCAAGGCTAGCACTCTACCACTTGAGCCACAGCGCCACTTCCGGCTTTTTTCTTTTTGCTTATGTGGTGCTGAGGAATCAAACCCAGGGCCTCGAGCATGCAAGGCAAGCGCTCTACCACTGAGCCACCTTCCCAGCCCATGAACTTTATTTTTTAAAAAAACTTTTTAAAAAAATTAACATACATCAACTACAGAGTTTTATAATTCAGAAAACAGTAAGTCATCAATTCTTCGCCTTTTACATGCGTGGGAGATCAGATAGGCTGGCAAAGTGAGGAAATCTATATGTTTCAGATGTTACAACATCCCTAGCTTTATGGTTGGTGGAGTTCTGAGGTCTAATGTGCTTTGTGATAACGTTCAGCACAAACGTTTAGCCTCTAGTTACATGAAAGTTAGGTCATCTTTCAAGAGTTAAAACCAGGCAAGCATGGCTCACACCTGTAATCCTAGTTATGCAAGAGGATCTGCAATCTGAGGATCGAGGTTCAAAGCCAGCGCCAGGAAGAAAGTCCCCCATGAGATTCTAGTCTCCAATTAACCACCTGAAACCCGGAAGTAGAGCTGTGGCTCAAAGTGGTAAAACACTAGCCTTCAGCAAAAGAGCTCAGGGACAGCATCCAGGCCCTGAGTTCAAACCCCAGGACTGACACACACACACAAAAGTTAAAAGTAAATGGCTTCACGGGAATTTTAGCTCTTCCATCTCTCCATAAACAAGTCTCTACAGTCAAGATTAAACTGTTATCGTCTGCAGATAACTTCAGTTGTCAGGCCAGATACTGAGAATTACCGTGCAATTCACCCCGTTGTGCTGCTTTAATGTGCTTTCAGAGACTTTTCAAACTAACACTGGGGAAGAAATGACACCTTGACAGCTGTTAAAACTCCAGTTACATTTCGCTCCGCCTTTCCTTCGGTTTAACCCCGCCCCATATTTAGCCCCGCCTTCCCACCTAACCAATGACTGGTGCCCTCTGGGGGTGGGCTGTGCGTCTGAGGGTGGTGGGCGGGGCCACGCAGTGACGGGAATGACGCGTCGTGCGAAGGCCTTATTTCCGGCTTGAGAAACCGTGGGGTTTCTGAGGCGACGCCTCAGCCGGTATTCACCACCCGGTCTGAGCCTGAGGATCGGCCGCTTCCATCACCACCAGCACCATGGGGGCCGTGCTGGGCATCTTCTCTCTCGCCAGCTGGGTGAGTTTGGAAGTCTTGTGTCCTCCTAGGATCTACGATTTGGGGGGTGAACGGTGATGGGGAGCCGTGCCTCTGAGGCCCGGGCAGTGGGGACCGAGAATGGGCCCGGGGTGCGGGGGTCTCTGGAGCCGCCTAGGCCTCTGAGGCCCCCAGGGAAGCGAGAGTGGGCCCGAGGTGCGTGGCCTTCCGGGGGTGTCTGTGGTGTAGCCTGCGACGTCCCCGCTGTGGAGCCTGCGGCGGGGCTGTGGCCGGCCGACTCCCGGGGAGGAATGTGGGAGGCCCAGCGCCATTGTTTACAATTCCGATCGCCCCGCCCCCGCCTTCCGGACTTTGGGCTCAGTTTGGGCGGGAGGACGTGTGAGCCACGGAGCGCGCCTCGGGCAGGGGGGCTCTCGGGTTCCTTTTGAAGCCCTGCTTTATGGTGGCGTCATTTAATTTGGGGGTATCTTGAAAATCATATTTCTGGCTCGCGACTTGCCAAAGCCACCGAGTACGTGGCAGAATCTGCATGTTTACTACAGGCCCGCTGCTGCTCTGATAGAAAGTGGCTTATTATGCAGAATCGGAACTTAAACAGAGTCTGAACATTTTAGGACCTCGTTGTTAGAGGTTCAGAAAGTAGGCAAGCTGCCCGCCAGCGCAGGTTTGTTGGGGGGAGAAAAGCCTGCGGAGAGGTAGTCTCCAGCAAAGAACTGGAGCCCCACAACTGCTTACGGGGCAAGCAGGAAGGGGGTTAACCGTCCATGGGTGCCGGGCAGGAAGAAGGGAAAGTGAGGTTGGGGGCGGGGACGGTAACTAAGGATATGTATATAGTCTGAGGTCCCTTGGGAATGTCACCTGTGGTCAACTAGGATGCAAGATATTACTTGTGGTCCCGGTGGGTGTTAAGCTACGTTAACTTGAGGGGCGTGGGGGGGTGAGAGGAAAAGGGGAAGTTTTCTATGTCAGGGTGAACTTAAGCAAAATTCCTGAGACCTCAAGATGGAGATACCTTGGCTAAGCAAACCTAACATTCATCAACATTTATCTGAAAGCAAATAACATTCTTACCTGCAGGAGCTTTGTGAGGATAAGGTAAATAAATGAATGCAGTCAATAAACAGTAAGCATTTTTAAAAGGAAATTTCAGGATCTGGGGAAGAATAGGCTGAATTCTCTCATAAACATGTTTCAGAGTTGTAAGGTTCCTTAGAATTATCTAATTATTAATTCCCTAATTGATGTAATAAACTAAGGATTCTACCTCTGTTTCTTTTTGTGTGTGTGTGCTGGTTTTAGGATTTGTTTCTTTTATGTGTGTGTATACTTGTCTTAGGGCTTGAACTCAGGGCCTGGGTGCTGTCCCTGAGCTTTTATACCAAGGCTAATGCTCTACCCCAGTGCCATTGGCAGTTACTTGGAGGTTAGAGTCTCACAGATCTTCCTGCCTGTGCTGCCTTTGAACTGCCATCCTGAGTAGCTAGAATTACATGGAATGAGCCCTTGGTGCCCAGCATGCTGATAGTTGTCAACACTGCTTGGTCCTGGGCTTTGTAGGTCTCTGTCTGCATCTCCCCATGACTTTTTGTATTGTAAACCTGTTAGACAAATGGAGGAAAGAGGAAGGAAACTGGCTGAACTTCCACAGGCAAGGACTGTTGATGAGATGAGATATAGCAGCTAGGGACACAGCCTTCACATCAGCTTGGAGACTGTGTCAGCAGTGCAGGGTTGGATGAAGGTTTTTATAGGGTCTGAGCAAGGAGACAGGTTATATGAGTTTAGTATGGGGGGTGGGTGACTGCACATTTGGTCAGAGAATAGGGTAAGTATTCCCTTACCCAAGGTCCCAAGCTTTTTTTTAATGTTCAAACAGCTCTACATCTGTCTTACCTAGACAGTTTGACCTTCACAGGCTACAGTTTTAGTCTTCCAACCTCTTAACCCTTTCCTGGCCTCACAGCTTGGCCTTAGCCTTATAGGCTAGTCCCACAATGAAATGTTTACAGCCTGGCTCAGGTCTGATTGCCCTGCCTGGTTAGGCAGTCTGCACTTTGGTGGCTTGCCTGGTATCTCTCTGCACCTGGGAAAACAGGATGGGAGTCATTCCTTAAAAAAACAAATGCCCAGGGCTGGGAAGGTGGCTCACTGGTAGAGCGCATGCCTTGCATGCCAGAGGCCCTGGGTTCGATTCCTCAGTACCACATAAGCAAAAAGAAAAACACCGGAAGTGGCGCTGTGACTCAAGTGGTAGAGCGCTAGCCTTGAGCTGAAGAGCTGAGGGACATCGCCCAGGCCCAGAGTTCAGGCCCCATGACCGGACCCAAAACAAACAAACAAACAAACAAAAAACAAATGCCCAAAGTTCTTTCTGTGATCCTACTCACGATGTATTTCATGCCCCTATTATATTTTCATTTTATATTTTTTAATCACTACTGAGCAGTCACTCAGCATTTCCCTCCCCCCCCCCCAGCCCCTAGTAGTCTTTGTGTTTTTTTTTTTTTTATTTTGGGTCCGGTCGTGGGCCTGAACTCTGGGCCTGGGCGATGTCCCTCAGCTCTTCAGCTCAAGGCTAGCGCTCTACCACTTGAGTCACAGCGCCACTTCCGGTGTTTTTCTTTTTGCTTAGGAGTGCTGAGGAATCGAACTCAGGGCTTCAAGCATGCAAGGCAAGCGCTTTACCACTGAGCCACCTTCCCAGCCCGTCTTTGTGTTTTTGGATTTAACCATTCTGGATACTTAAAGTAAATGGAACAACAGTGATGTTTTTGTGTTTGGCCTCTTTCACTCACTGTGGTGTTTTTGAAGTTCATGCACATTGTGCCATATATCAGTACTAAATTCCTTTACATGCCCGACTAATGTATGATATGGACATGTCCCATTGTCTTTTATCTTTCCAATCCATGGTTCTTTGGGTTGTTTCTATTTTCGAGTGGCGGAAATAATATTGACTCCAGAGCCTATGGTTTTCTGTTTGTCAGTTGAGACAGAGTCTAGCTATGTAGCCCAGGGGTCTTGAACTCATGATCCTCCTGCCTCAGCCTCCTCAATGCTAGCATTACAGTACACTACCATATGCAAGGAACCCTTGCCTTGAAACCACATAACTGCAGTTAAAACTGTCAAACCTTGGTTTGTCTCATCTCTGCATCGTCTTTGCAATAAAGGAGATCTCAAATGACCTCTGGTGTTCTTATGACAGGTTCCATGCCTCTGTAGTGGTGCATCATGCTTGCTCTGCGGTTGCTGTCCCATCAGTAAGAATTCCACTGTGACTCGGATCATCTATGCTGCTATTCTCTTTCTGGGCACTCTCGTATGTTGTATCATGCAGACAGAAAAGATAGAAACTGAACTGAAAAGAGTGAGTAGAAATAACAGCACACTGGTTTTTATTACTTATTATTTTGGAATATTATGGTTATAATTATTCTTACCATTACAATTAATCAAGATCATTATAATTGTAGCATTATTGTTACTAGGGTTTCCTTTTCTTTCTTTCTTTTTTTTTTCTTGCTGGTCCTGGGTCTTGAACTTAAGATCTGGGTGCTGTCCCTGAGCTTTTGCTCAAGTCCAGCGCTCTACCACCTGAGCCATAGCACCACTTCTGGCTTTTTTCTGAGTAGTTTATTAGAGATAAAAGTCTCACAGACTTTTCTTTCTGCTTGGGCTGGCTTCAAACTGTAGCCTCAGATCCCAGCCTCCTAAGTAGCTAGGATTACAGGCCTGAACAGTGCCTGGCTGGGTTGTTTTCTTTTTGGGGGGGGAGGGGGTCCAGTCGTGGGTCTGAACTCTGGGCCTGGGCGCTGTCTCTCAGCTCTTCAGCTCAAGGCTAGTGCTCTACCACTTGAGCCATAGCGCCACTTCGGGTTTTTTCTTTTTGCTTATGTGGTGCTGAGGAATCGAACCCAGGGACTCAAGCATGCAAGGCAAGTGCTGTACCACTGAGCCACCTTCCCAGCCCTAGTGTTTTTTTGTTTGTTTGTTTTTTGTCAATCGTGGGGTTTGAACTTTGGGCTTGGGCACTATCGCTGTGCTCTTAAGCTCAAGCAAGTGCTCTACTACTTGAGCCACAGCTACACTTCCGGTTTTTTTTTCTAGTGGTTTATTGGAGATAGGGGTCTCACGGACTTTCCTGCCTGGGCTGGCTTTGAATCATGATCCTCAGATCTCAGCCTCCGGATTAGCTAGGATTATAGTCATAGCTAGGATTATAGGCGTGAGCCAACAGCTCCTGGCTTTTTGTTTGCTTGTTTGTTTGTTTTGAGAGAGAGTCTCATGATTTTCTTTCTTCCACCTCCCAAGTGGCTTAAATTATTTTTGTATGTGGCTAAGATTTATAATACCAGGGATTAGCCCTTCTCTGGAAATAAAGGTAGTCAGAATGTGCATCTTCAGGTTCCAGTGTAACAACCCACAGAAAACAGATATTAAAAATGACTTTGGCAGAGGAGGACACAGAATCAGAGGGAAACCTGGGAAAACACAACAGAGAGGCCCATCAGCTGCACTGGGCAGCGATGGGAGGTAGAGAATTAGAGGGAAAGAGGGAACAGATTACACTAAACAAAAGGAAAGAAATGTACATATCACCTGATGTGGAAGAAATAGTTGTATTGTCAAAGCTCATAGACCACGATAATGACACTTTGCCTCATGAAGGTTAAACTGTTTGTGATTTTACTAAGTACCACTATCTCACAATACTGTGAAATTTATGTAATCACTTAGTCACAATAAAAAATTATAAAAAAAAAAAAAAGATTCAGGGAGCTGGGCACCAGTGGTTCATGCCTGTAATCCTAACTCTTCAGGAGGCTAAGATCTGAGGATCACATTCAAAGCCAACCTGGGCAGGAAAGTCCATGAAATTCTTTTTTTTTTTTGCTTATGTGGTGCTGAGGAATCGAACCCAGGGCCTCATGCATACAAGGCAAGCACTCTACCGCTAAACCATCTTCCCAGCCCAATGAAACTCTTAGCCTCCATTTAACCATCAGAAAACTGGAAGTAGCACTGGCTCTATGGCTCAAGTGGTGGTGTTAGTTCAAATGGCTCCTTTCTCATAGCTTATGTTCCTTTCCTAGGACCTTGCAGGCATCTTTCCCAAAGAGTTCATCAATAGGCCTGTTTGGTGCAGGCAGTAAATAGAGAATCAGGCCCATTTAGTGCTGGCGGTAAATAATCGGCCTTCTCCCCGCTTTACCTTGAGATGGCACTTCATTGGGGCAGTTACTACCATATAAGGTAACAGGACCCCTTAAAGTGACCTTCAGTCTGGGAAGCTGCAGCCCCTTATCTGCTGTTTGGACAGCTGCCATAAATCCTAGCCTGCCATGATGAAGTCCCTGCCTCCTAACCCCTCTAGGTTATAAAGATCACCTCCGACACTGATGGGGCTGCTTCTCAAGTGGCCTTGCTGCCTTGCCCTGCCAATCCCTTTGCTGGCAGTAAATCTTTCTTTGTTCTTTGTGCCTGGATGTCTGTGTGGTTTTCTGGCAAGGCTTAACAAGTAGAGTGCTAGCCTTGAACAAAAGAAGCTTATGGACAGTGCCCAGGCTCTGAGTTCAAGCTCCAGGACTGGAAAAATGACTGATATTTTCTTTGCTTGTAGGTTTAAGCTTTCAGCTAGGCTAGCCCTTTGCTTTTGGAAGAAGTTTGTTATAGCTAGAAAATCTAATAAGAAAATTGAGATAACCTCACTAGCATAAATGCTTAGGAAAGCACTTTCTTCTGCTGCTACTGAGGTTTAAACCTAGTGCATCACCCATGCTATGTGTGTGTATTCTACCACTGAGCTACACTCCTATCCCCCTATTTATTTAGACAATATTTTGCTAAGTTGTCAAAGCTGGTTTTAAACTTACTATGTAGCCCTGGTTAGAACTCAAAATCATCCTGCCTCAGTTTCCCAAATGCCAAGATTACAAATATGCCCACCACACTCATTCCATTTTTAGTTCTTGACTAAATTATTTATACTATTTGGTAATGAGATTATTAGTTGGAAGTCAGAGAGAAAATTCATACCTAATGGTTCCTAAAGTGGTTGGTATTATAAATCTAAGCTCTTACAGTGCAATAAGATCTCTGAATTTTATTTCCGTCTAATGAAATTATTCCCTCCCCTCCAGATTCCTGGATTCTGTGATGGAGAATTCCAAATCAAAATGGTGGATACAAAATCAGATTGTGATGTGCTGGTTGGTTATAAAGCTGTGTATCGGATCAACTTTGCCCTTGCCATCTTTTTCTTTGCCTTCTTTTTGCTCATGATAAAAGTAAAAACAAGCAAAGATCCAAGAGCAGCAATACACAATGGGTATGTAAGATTGAAGATTAACTCTTTTTTTATGGTATGACTCTTCCTGTCTTTCAGCAGGTCATGTTGCCATTTGTATGGAAACAGTAGAATATATATGTCAGTGGTCCAGATGTAGTTCTGAACTATTGTACATGTGAAATTAAACTTGGTTTGCTGTTAATTTTCATTTGGAGTCCTATAATTCAGAAAAGATGGGCTGGAGAATCTCCTTGTCCTGTTTTGCTTTTTTTTTTTTTTTAATATCTTTGCTTAAGGTACCTAGAATTTCATTGAGCACCTTTTCAACAGATACTGTACTAGGCAATGTGTGCACATGCT